CATCTTGGTTTGTTTGGACACTTTATTCCCTTGTTTTTTCATGTTGTTAGTGTGTTTTCCCATCTAAAACTATGGATCTAAGGCAGGATAAGTTCTACTCTGTAGACCTGTAGTGTCCCTGAAGGCTTCCAGTGCTTTACCTTTACTGGTAAGACCAATATCAACAGCACCCAGTGTACACAATATATAGCCTTAACCCAATAGCTCTCACTAAGGTGTCTACTGCTTTCTCACATTAAACCAAAATGATGGGTTCAGTAACTAACTATAGAATATTTATTAAAATGATTTACGATTTCAAATGGTGGATGAGAGAACAGAGGTGGTGTAATATGCAATATTCGCGAGGGAGGAAGAGAGAGGCTTGAAGTAAAAATTCACAGGAAGAGTGGAAGAAGAGCTGACAGAGATTGGCTATTGGTTAGAGAAAAGTTGGAAACTAAATCCCAGATAATAGAAGAGAGAGGAAGAATACGAACAAAGAGAAAAAAATTGAAGACATAAGAATATAACAAAAATGCAAAATACCATTCATGTGTCATTGTCCTCCACACCTTAATGCATAAAAAACATCCTGTTCCAAATATGGTAGAGAGATTAGTGAATCAAAAAATAATATAAAATAAATCTTGCTGGCAAGTCAGACTGTCTCTGTTAGTTTTCAACAGTTTCTCAGTCCTGTCTCTGACGTCTCTTGGGATCACTAAACCCACATCAGCCCTCAAAAATCCAGTCTCCGTCCCACAGATCTGGGCTTCAGATACTTCAGGATTGGCCACGCTGCAGTCCCAAGATCTCAGAGCTGCTCCTACTTTCAGAGAAACCACCAGGGATACACTCATGCAAAGGAGCAACCCTGAGATGCAGCAACAAGACAAGGGCCACCAGCACTCTCAGCAGGAAGCTCCCAGACTCCTCCAAACCTGCAGGCATCCCCACATTGGACCTGCAGGTCACAGCTGAGTCCCCAGACAGAGGCTCTTTATGGTGGTAAACCTGTGGATACCCAGGCCCCAGGCCCTGGCTGTTGTTCCAAAATGGGTGTATCCACATGCAACCAAACCTGGAGTCTTCCCAAAGCAGTCCTCTAGGCTCTGGTAGCAGCGGTACTGGCAGTGGTTGTTGGCAGCAGGCAGTGGGTCAACAGTAGTGACGGCTGCAGTGGCAGCTGCAACTGCAGCTGTGGGGGCAGCGTCACCAGGTGATATCTGGGGGTCAGCAGCAGTGTAGGTTTCAGTTGCATCCAGGGCAGTGGTCTCTTCTGTGTCAGCAGCACCTGGAAAGAAGACCTCTAGGCTATGTTGGCTGGCAGCAGTGGAATCAGAGGCAGCAGCAATGGTGGTAGCAGTGCAGGTGGTAGTTGATTGACAGGAGACTTCTGGTGCAGCAGTTATACTCTCCTTTTAATGAAGAAGATATGATCAAGCCTAGGAGTGGTATAGTCTACCTTTGAGAATACCTAGGAATAGCAGGCAACTGAGCTAATATTGAGATGTCAAAGTATATAGTGAATTTTCTAAACCCAGAAATGGATATTTTTAGAAGAGTACATGTCACACTGCAGCTTCTGAGATGCTACTAAACCTCAAGTTTACACCTGTTGTTTTTTCCTATCTTGGGTTCTTCTTTCTGTTCTTTAGTATTGAAGCTTAGTGACTTGAAGCAAGAATGGATCATTTCTGAGTGACAGAGGCTAAGAAGTGACAAATGAGTTGGTAACACTAATTGAATAAGGGTCAGACTGTGGAGTTCTTCTAATCTAAGTCTAGCAGAAGGAATTAAGTATGAGTGTTTGGAATCATAAAGCAGTAATCACTTTCTGAAACAATCAATGAAGGTTTTTAGTTTCTTGCTTCCTCACTATTACTAATTAAATCTCCATTCCTCTAATTAGCCAGTGTTCAACATCAGATCATCTTTGGCTCCACTGATTCTCCTCTGGCTAGAGAATCCAGAAGTGTGGAACTATTATTGGGGCTTAGTGGTCACTCAGTACAGGCTCTCCTGTTTGTAGGTGAAGCTTTGAACTCCCTCTGGCTTTTATATGAAAGCTCCTTGTGACATTTACTGAATGCCTTCTATTCCTATTCCTACTGAATATTAATGTTTTTGAGTGCCAAGACTATTTTGGATTCATCTTTTTATTCTCTACACTGGAAATGACAGTGCCTGGAATACAGCTGTTTGGGTCAATAAATATGTGAATTCATTAATTTATTCATTCATTAATCTATTCATTTCATTCACTTATTCATTCAACAGTATTTTTGAAGCTTCTACTCTGAGGGGGGTTTTATAACCCAGTGGGGAAAAATAACCATTAGTTATTTGTTATTAGCAAGGGCCTGTGAGACTATCTAATTGGGGCCTGATCTGGTCTGAGGGTCACAGGGATAGCTTTAAGGAGGTTATGTTTGAGCTTAGACCTGATGTAGTACAGGGGTTATTAGAATAAGTAGGTTTGGAGTGGAAGGTAGGAGCTGAAGGGAAGAACATGCCAGGCAGAGGGATTGATGTGTGCAAAGGGCTACCAGTAGAAGGCACCAAAAAGAAGGCTGGTGTGATGGAGCACAGGGAGTGAACTGGAGGTGCAGCCAGAGGTGTCAGGATATTCAGGCCTCACAGGACCCTGGGTAGGATTCTGTTCTCTAACTCATGAACAGTGGAATGAATTCACCTGTGTTATTGGCCCCATCTAGGCTATCTACTTTCTGCTCTCTCAAATAGCTGGTTGATGTCCCTCATGGGTCTGTAATTCTCTTGTGTCCAGTACTGATCCTGGCTGATTCATGGCTAGTTGACCAGAAGCTACTTGGCCTGGCTTTACACTTTCTGGTTATTTTCTCCTTTGATAAATTTAATCTCTTATTTCTATGAAAACAGAAATGGTTTCATTATTATTATAATTACTAGAAACATTGCCATCATAGTGCTTGTGCTGCTCACTGTCACAGGTTTATTGATTATGAAAAGTGAGCTATGCTCTGTTTCAGTAGAGAATAGAACAGCATTGACCTTGCCCTTGAAAATTAGAGTTTACTGGAGGGGGACAGCCGTTAAATTAATAAGCCACAAATATATATTTAATCAGAGAGCTGTGCAGGATAAAAACAGGCATAACTGGGATAATCTAATTTAGAATGAGACATCAGGGTACCCTCTTAGATTCTCATGAACCTTACCCCATAACACTTTTTTTCCTGGCAGCCCACAGGGTGTTTGTAGCATAAGTGAATGAATTCCTGGATGAGGCAAGTTCTCTTTCTAGATGCAGAACATGAGACTGGTAGAGATTTGGTCCTTGAGATCATACAGCAGCCAAATGGAAGAGTTGAGGTATAACCATGGGTGTCCTGAGTCGAAATCTAGCCTCTTTCTCATGTGAAACTGGTTTGCCACTCTCTGTGCATCACCTGGGAATTTTCCCCATTCACAGTGAAGATCCTTTCAGCCTCTGCTATCCTCTTCCCCTGACCACTTCTCTGCTGCCTGTCATTATGTGGCTGTCTCAGAGTTGAATGATGGCATTCTTTTATTTCCAAATCAAGAGAACCTTACCTTGGCTTTGTTGTTCTCAGGAGCTCAAGTTTTACTCTCTTGAATACTTCTTGTTATCTGGATTCTTCATTGTTTCCCTTTTTGCTGTGTTTGGTTCAACAAAAAATTTTTTTGTTATTTTAGTTTTTTTCAGTACAGGTGGTTGAACCAAGAGCCTTGCACATGCTGGGCAAGTATTCTACCTCTGAGTTACATCCCTGCCCTTCACTGATGTTTTAAATATCTATTCTGGCCATGGCACTTTATTTAGTGCTACTGAAAATATGAGAATGAACATTTGACCTTGGCTTCCTGGTACTTTTATATTATTTTTAAATTTGAGTTTAATTAAATGAAGTTATTTTTTTTTTTTTGAGGTGGGGTCTCACATGTTGCTCAGGCTGGCTTTGAACTCCTGTGCTCAGGCAGTCTCTGGTGTCAGCCTCCCATGTAGCTGGGACTACAAGTGTGCAATGCTCCTTCTGGCTCCTTGTATCTTTTATAAAAGAATGTGAGAGTTGGGTGTGGTGACCCATGCCTACAGTCCCAGTTACTTGGGAGGCTGAGGCAGGAGAATTGCAGTTTGAGGTCAGCCTTGGCAATTTAGGGAGATCCTGTCTCAAAATAAAAATTAAAAAAAGATCTGGCAATA